AACTGGTTTTAGTTTTCTTATATTTTTCTGATTTTGTTATAGGGGGACTAGACTACTACCACCTTCATGAGTTTGTAAGTAGTTTCTGCTCCTCTATTTTCTAAACAAATTTTAAGTACTGGTGTTATTCTTTAATATTTGGTGGGATTTGTATGTGGAGTCATCTGGTTTTTATGGAAAAATTTGAGTACTAACAATAATTAATCATGGCCCTATTCTGACTTTCTTTAGTCAATTTTAGCAGTGTGTTTCTAGGGATTTTTTAAAAATTAATCTTGATTTTAAAACTAGTTTACTTGAAATTGATCATAATATTATAAGAGTCCTCTGATAATCTCTCATTTTCTATATAAAGTAGATTGCATTTCCCCTCTATTATTCCATAATTTGGTAATTTGAATCTCCTTTTTCCTGGATTAATCTGAGTACAAGTTTGTCAGTTTTCTTGATTACTCCAGTATACTAACCTTTCTTTCCACTGATTTGCACTTAGGCTGTTTTTCATTTTCTAATTCATTGAGTCCATATACTCTAATCTTCTCTTGCTCATTGGTGCTTAGAATGCTATTATTATTCAACATTTTTCTTTCGTTCCTTTTTTCGAGACTGGATCATCAGTATAACCCATTTGGCTTTACACTGACCAAGAATACAGGTCTTGTCCTAAAGTAGAAATCTGAGCTATTGATTTGAGATCTTTTTTTAATGTGAATTATTTTCTGCTATAACTTTCCTCTAAGTTTAATTGCATGTCAGACACTTTGCTATATTGTATTTTCATTTTTCAGTCATTTCAGATTTTGTCAATGTTCCTTGTGATTTCTTTTATGCTTCATTTACTGGTTAGAAATATGTTGATTTCCATATTGTTTGAGAATTTTCTGAACTTCCAGGTTAATTCCATTATAACTGTAGATCAAGCATTGCTTGGTTTCAATATTTAAAATTTGTGGAATCATATTTTATGATGGTCCATCCCAAAGAATGTGCTATTAGCAATAAAAAAATCCCCTGCTATTTTTTAGTAGAATTCTCTGTTAGTGTAGTTTTATTTTTAATTAAAAATTGTATTTATTCATGAGGAGCATGCAGCACAGTGCATGTGTGGGGGTCAGAGGTCAACTTTTGAGAGACAGTTCTCTCCTACCATGTGGGTCCTGGGGATTGAACGATGGTCATCAGATTTAGTGAAAGGTGCCTTTGCCCACCTGTTGTGCTCAGATTGTGACCACCAAAGAGTCCACTGAAGATGAGCATGCCGGAATGCAAAAGCAAGGTTTAATTTGGGATATCCAAAAACAATACAAGCCTAGGCAGGGACTTCGTCCAACAGATCCAATGCAGTGGAGGCCGGAGAAAGTGCCTGCCTCTCTGCAAGCTTAGTTTTTAAAGGCAAAAACCACAAGGTTACATCATTTAGGGGTGCTAGTATGGGTACAATTCTGATTGGCTCACTTCTAGGGACTTTCTAGAAATCATGGCTTAATCTTACTTCTAAGGGGGTGGTTGCCCACCACCATTTCTCATTGGCTGCCTTCAGGTGGGGACATTTTAGTGGTCAGTTACCCTGGAAACCAGGGTTGGAACATTCTTTGGTCAAAGAGTTACCTAGGGAATCAGGGAGAGGACATTCCATAGTCGGGCAGTCATTACCTTGTGACTACCTTGTGACTCTGTACTTTTACACTTCCTGGTTTCTGGAATCTTGACTGACTGGTTTCAGTAACTCATGGCCTATACCTAGAAGGAGACATCTTAGGCCTTAGTTTTAGGGTGAAAGCACTTTGGTCTTATTTTGGTTCCACACACCAAGCCATCCCACAGAACCTAGAGTTGGTTTTTAAGTCTTGGTGTTTGAATTAGTTACTTTTCCCACTGCTGTAGAAAATACTTAGTGAAGAAAGGGTTTATTTTGGCTCAGCATTTGAGAGAATACAATCCATTGTGACTGGGAAGGCAAGACAGTGGGAGCATGGAATGGCTGGTCACATTGCATCTAAAGTCAAGGAGCAGAGGAATATGTCTGCTGGTGCTCATCTCACTTTCTTCTTTTCTTATTCAGTCTTGGACCCCACCCCATGGAATGGTCCCAACATGTTTAGGGTGTGCCTTATCTCCTCAGTTAGAAATCTCTGGACACACCCTCATAGACACACCCAAAGGTGTGCCTCGTTAATGATGTGGTGTTGTTGTTTTTTTTTATCCCCAATCAAATTAATCAAAATTAAATAGTTTGTGTCAAATTTTGTTTCATTTGTTGTGATGGGTGATATCAGTTGTTACCTTGATAAGATCTGGAATCACCTGGAACATGTGCCTCTGGGCATGTCTTTAGGGGACAATCTCGAGTCATTGAGGTGGGAAGACCTGACCGCTGTAGGTAGCACTAGTCCTTTGACTAGGATCCCGAACTACATAAAAATGAAAAAGTGGAATGAACGCAACATTCGCTGTTCTCTGCTTCCTTGCTGTAAAGCAATGTGACTAGCTACTTCAAGCTCCAGGACATCCCCGAGGATTGATGACACCCTTGAACTGTGAGCCAGAATAAATCCTTTATCCCTTAAATTGCTTTGGTCAGGGTGTTTTATTACAGCAACAGAAAAAAAAATAACTAAGACATTTACTTTGAGGTACTATATTTAGGTATATCTATGTTTAAGTTGATATTTTCCAATAGATTCTCATTTTTATCATCTGTGATAGGCCTCTTTAATGGTGTTTCAATGATCTTTAAAATTAATTTTGTGGTTGGCTTTGCTATTCTCTAAAGTCTCTTTTGTTTACTGTCTATATGGTATTTTTTCATCCTTCAACTTTCAACAATGTCTTTGAATAATTATAAATACATGTTCATGCATATATAATTTGTAAAACTTTGTGTTATTATATGGCACAAATAAGAAGAAAGCACTGTAGATAACCTACACTATAAAAACTTAACAAAGATTAATGGTTAATCTCAATAACTAGAGTAAATACTTGGTAAATAACCACCCAAAGAAAAGCCCTTCTTTTGTGGCATTGGAGATAGAACCTAAGCCATGAGCATGCTAAAATGTACTCCACAATGAAGTCACAGTCTATGGTGGTTAGAACGAGAGTGGTCCCATAGGCTCATATATTGGAATACTTGGTCCCCAGTTGGGGGACTGTTTGGGAAGGATTAGGTGTGGCCTTGTTGGAGAAGGTGTCACTGGGGAATATGCTTAGAGGTTTCGAAAGTCCCCTCCATTCCTTATTAGCCTCTTGCCCCTGGATCCAGGTATAAGCTTTCAGGTACTTCTCCAGCACCATTTCTGGCTTCTGCCATACTCTCTGCCATGATGGTCTTGGACTCTCACCCTCTGAAACTGTAAGGCCCCCAGGGAACTCTTTCTTCTTGATAGAGTCCTTCTTGATAGAACTCTCTGTTCTTGCCTTGGTCATGGCATTTTATCACAGCAGTAGGAAACTAAGACATATTTCATTCAAATGGCTGTAATATTTGAAGTTTTGGTTCCTTCTAGATTTAATTATAAGCTGTAGTCGATCTTCCTTGATGATATTATTCTCTAATCCCATTTTCATATATCTTTGAATTGCAATGGCGGAGGCAAAATGTGGATCAAAAGTTATTATCTGAGCAAGATTCTGAGCAATCCTAAATCATGTCAGGTTACAATCCGAAGGAACCTTGACAGTAAACTAAGAAAATACTTTCCTCTTAAGTCACCATATGTGTGAGAAACGGGTATCAGTAACCAAGAGGGCTTACCAGAACTCAAATCCTTACTGTAGTTGTTTTAAAAATTATCCTATGGGTTTTTACTACAACAGCTCAGAATTTACAAACCAAAGTGGCATCTAACTATACACCTCACGAATAATATGAAAAGGAAAGAATTCTCAGTAGTGGAAAATGACTTTTGTTTAATTTATTCCTATGAATATACTTTTAACAAGCATAAAGAGTAAAAGCAAAAAAGTAATCCAGTAGATTTAGCTATGTTTTTTACTTTGGGGCCAGAATAAAAATAAAATCTTGAATATTAATTGCTGCTGGGAATGGTGGTGCATGCCTGCAATCTCCATACTTGGGTGAGAGAGGCAGATGAATCTCTGTGAGTTTGAGGCCAACTAGGTCTGCATAGTGAGTTCAAGGACAGCCAGGGGCATGAAGAGAGACCCTGTCTCAAAAACACAGTGATAGTTGGTGTCAATAAAGAAACTGTGGAACCAAAATAAGACCAAAATGCTCTCACCCCAAAACTAAAGGCCTAAGACTGCTCCTTTTAGCTACAGGCCATAAGTTACTGGAACAGGCCAGAAGTTACTGAGACCAGTCAGTTCAGATTCCAGAAACCAGGAAGT